AATGAAAATACATTTCTTTAAAGAAATGCTTTGATAAATTCTTATCATGTTTTGTTTTGGGAACAAATTCCGCAACTGTTTTCTGTAAAAGATTACTCTGATTTTAAAAACAAAACATAAACAAATCGGTCTTTTCTGGCCGTGAAATTGGGGATGTCACAGTTGGTATCAGAGCATTAGTTTAAGCGAACTAGGAATTTGTAGGAAATTTCTAGACTTATACTTAAGATGCTAAGTGAAGATTGTGAGATGAGTGTCTGTTGTATTTTAGACACGAGCACTAGTATATTTTAGGAAAGATGCCTAAAATGCTTTTATGTGCTAAATGTTATATGTTTTCCATATATTATATTATTTGTTCGGATCTATGGTCTGTTGCCGACCGGATCTGGAAACCTTATGTGTGTAGGATTCTAAGCGTATGACTACGATATTAGAACTAGCATGTAAATGTTTCGGAGTGATAAGGAGATTTATACGTTTATCGTAAACGAAGCTTTCCTATCTTAAATTCTCGCCCAGTACACCGAACGTCTGCTTGGGTGTACAAAAGGTCATGGTGAAGACTCGTAGAGAATTGAGTAAATGGAGGAAATGAAAAGGCTTATGATAGTGAATGACACCTATTAGAAGATATCGTAAGAGTGGTATCTAGCCTTTAGAATATGTCTGATAAAATAACAGTACGTTTAGGGGAGTACGGTACGTCTGGAGTACACCTTCGATTGGCAGGATGATGGAATGATTGGTGTAATTCTTGAAGTTGTCCCATCGTCTGGAATTTCCATCACCAATCGAGTTGAAGTAGAATTGATGATTGAAGATACGCAATGAAGAAGTCCTAGTAGAGACTAGGGAAATTTTTATGATTATTTGGACACATTCGTATGTGTTAAATTGTTTTGTGATTTTAGGACTTGGGGACTGCGATACAATACTTGGGACGAGTATGAGTAGGTGTGAAAGGCAGTAGATGCATATACTACGGAAGCACAGAACTCACGCTTGGATCAGGGAAAGTCACAAGGTTACCAAGAAGCTAGTGACTGGTCTCGTTTTATTCAAGTATGTCATTACCATTGTTTCGGTAGTGACTAAGAAGATGATTGATATTCTGACCCTAGCGGTCATATCAAATTGAGTCCGACTACGATGAGTTTGTTACGTGGTTCATAGAACCAAGTTGGAGGTAGCATCTGACTCAAGTCAGAAGATTGAAATCAATGCGATCGATAGCATCACGCTCGTTGTTAAGGAAGCTTGTAGCTATAAATGCTACATGTAAAAATGTGATTATATCACATTAGAATATGAAGGAAGGCATATTCCATTCTGGAATTTGACTCTAAGAGACTTGAGTCTAAGCGTTGCATCATACGATGAGAGGTCATTAGAACACGACCCATCAGTCTGTTACAATAGATAAAGGAAAGTACTTATCCTAAGAAGAAGAAGGAGTCCTCAATAAGGATTTATTTTGTAACTCGAAGGTTACGATTGAAAGTACAACATAGTACGAAGAGCAGATGCAGGATTGAGCACTACCTGCTATCGAGAAGTCCAAGAGTTAGATACTCTTTCGAGGAAACAAAGAACTTACAGTTATTACCTAGGATGAAGAGATAACGTATGGAATCATTATATAAGTCCTATTTCTTTGATGATTCCGGGACGTAATCATCCTTAGGGGGAGATAATTGTAACGCCCGTAGATTCCGGCTAGTCAATTTAGAGACGATAAGCATCAAAAATGACTTTTTGATGGAAGATTATTTATAAGGATTAATCTTAACTAAGTTGTAGTATATGTTACAAGTATTCCGTACATATAAAGAACGCCGAAATCCGAGTTATAACGAAGAAGTTATGACCTGTCGGAGTTTCGCGACAGAACCGGCACGACACAGCGCGACGTAAATAGTGAATTTACGTTAGAGCGATATTTGGCCTTAGCAATCTAAATGAAAGTCGTAGAATACGTTAAACCGAGAGCGTGCATAAAAAGAACGTCTAAATCTGACTTCGTATGAGAAAGTTATGATTTTTCGAAGTTTCAGCATTAGCAGTATGCAGCCCGAAGTTCGAATATGAGATCGAGTGATTTCTAGCCGAAACGATCTAAATGATAATCGAAGATCTCATCGATAGTAGTCCAACGGTAAAAAGACAGACGAAAACGGACGTCAGACGAAGAAGTTATGAATTTCTGACGGAGTTTTCCTGTCCCGGCCTACTAAAAATAATATAATAAAAATAAAGTCAAAATTAGCCGACGAAGTCTAAACGAGAGTTGTAGATCATAATCTGTGAAGGGACTCGACGAGTTAGTTCGGGTTTTCACGACTAAGTGTAGCAAGGGAACTCGGCGAGTCAAGAGATTGACTCGACGAGTTGAGTCAACTCAAATTGTTGACTTTGACTTTGACTGAGCGTTGACTTTGACTGGGACATTAACTTGACCAAGGTTGACCCGTGAAAGGGTCTTGACATAAGGAATGGTAGCTAAGGGGTTGTTTTGTATAGGGAGTGAGTAGAGCCGGTTGTAGGAGCCGAGACGTTCAACTACTTCACTCGACATTTGAGGTGAGTCCTCTTCTAGTAGGAACAAGTCTAAGGCACCAAGGTCGGCCCGTTTATGTATGTTAGTAATGTCGGGGTTAGCCCGATGTAGTCTATATGTTTCCGGACTTAGGTCCGATGCCGGGGCAAGCCCGAGGAATGTTTGTATGCTTGATGTCTTCGTGATTCTTGCATATGTTTTTTTTATGTGTTCCGGACCTCGGTCTGATGCCGGGGCAAGCCCGAGGAATGTTTAGCCTATATGTTATGTTTATGTGTACCGGGCTTCGTTCCGATGTCGGGGCAAGGCCGATGAATGTTTATATGTTTATGTTATGTGTTTATGTTATATGTTTGTTGATATGATATATGTATACCGGACTTAGGTCCGATGCCGGGAGGGGCCCGATGCCAGATGCGGTCTGATGCCGGGCGGGGCCCGATGCCGAGCCGGGCCCGATGCCGGACAAGCCGATGTCGGGTAGTACCCGATGTAGTAGGGCGGGGGCCAACGTATGCAATTATGTGATTATGTGTATGGTATGTGGTAGTTTGGGGAGACCCACTAAGCTTCGTGCTTACAGTTTTCAGTTTTGGTTTCAGGTACTTCCGCTAGTAAGGGGAAGAGCCCGGGATGACTGCATGGCACACACACCACAGTTTTAGCCTTAGAGGATTCACTCTGATGTTTTGACATATGATTTTGATACATTGACTGATATTATGATATTTTCGAGATGCACGATTTATGACTTTATATGATGAATGATATTTATAGTTTTTATTAATGAATTAAAATGAAATTTTTGGATCGTATTTTTGGGATGTTTCAAGAAGCTTCCTGGAAAGTATAAACAAAGGACTTGAGGGATTAAGGACTCAATCCATTAAGCTGTCCAAATGAAAGGACCACGAGGTGGCAAGGTGCTTGCCACAACGTGGTGAATAAGAATGTAGCGATTGTTTGTTTGGAAAATGCCACATCGTGGTGGCATGCATGCAACGACATGGTAGCAGTTTTAATCACGAATGGGTGCTTATCCATGACATAGCCATTGGTTGGCCACGACATGACGACCGTTTGAGTTGACTTTCTGAGTTGACTTTGACCGCCGACCGTTGACTTTTTGACTAGTTTAACTTTTGGTCAAACTTGGGTAGAAGTGAGTATTTAGCTAAGGGATAGTCTTGGTTTGGATTTAGGTAGCTCAGGTTAGCTGCTATGTTGCTGAGAATGCTCTTGAGCTTCTACTGTTTAGTTCAGGTGAGTCTTCTCATTGTATTACTTATGTCATAGTGTGTGCATGTTGACCAACTGGGTCTTATTTGCTGATTGTTGTCATGTGTTACTGAGCTGCTGATAGCTCCAGGGCGTGATGTTAGTCAATTGGGACTGCTAATAGTCCCCAGGGTTACTGATAACCCACAGGGAGTGCTGTTAGCCCATTGAGACTGCTGATAGTCCCCGAGGTTGCTGATAAACCATCGTCGTTTATATTGTGGTGTTGTATGTAATATTTAGGGCTGTTGATAGTCCTCAGGATTGTTGATAGTCCCAGGGTTTCTGATAACCTATAGTTGATCATTATGTTGTGAAATATGTGATATTTTGGGAAACTCACTAAGCTTTGTGCTTATAGTTGTAGATTAAATGTTTTTTAGGCACTTAACGAACTGCGAAGGCGGGGATTGTACACATGCATCCATGGTTGTCAAAATCGCGATCCTGATCGTAGGATCGTACGATCCTAGATATGAAAAACGATTCGGATCGTAAAAAGATCGTATTTGGGGTAGGATCGCAGGTAGGATCGTAGGATCGAGATCCTACCTTCCCTTGATTTTTTTTTTTTTTTTTTTTTTTTTTTGCAAATGAATTTTTTTACCACTTTATGTCTTTTACCCTTTACCACTTTACCATTTATCATTTTGTATTGTGGCTTATGACTAAATATTTTGAAGTTTTTATAACTTTTGAATGAAAAACTGAATGTTTGAAATACTTTTCATGATTAAAAATTATAAATTAAAATTATATTTTATTTTGTGGGATCTTAGGATCCCGATCCCGATCTTACAAACCCAAAAACGATCATAAGTAGGATCCCGATCTTGACAACCTTGCATGCATCAACAATTTTATGATTCGAGATTCCACATTGTCTTCCTTATAACTCTGATTTTTAATTATGATTTATGAACATTTGGTTTGACTTGAATGTAACTTTAATAAAATGGGCGTTTGTTATATTTTTAAAAGGAAAGTTTTATTTTGAAATTTTGGGACGTTACAAGTCAGAGCGTCCCTTATATTATAAAAATATGCACGTTTGGTCCCTTGTAGACACTAAATGATTATATTGCCATTTTCTATTTCTTTTTCATTTATTTTTAATATTTCAGAATATTTTTAATTATTAAAAAAACATTTTAACTAAATTATGGGTCCCACCTTAGCACCCACCTACCGTATGTTACATTTTCCAGAAACTCTCTCATCCTTTTCTCTCGAAAGAACCACCACCACCACCACCAGGGAAGCAACATTGGACCTCCTCCGGAATGCCACTGACGATGTGAAACGACCGTTCGACTATCGTCAACATCTGAAAACTCTATTTTTTTCTCTTGCATCGGTAACCCTTCTGGTAGGAACCTACATCTTTGATTGCCTAAAGACAACCATCTCTGATTATCTCTAGTATTCGACAACATCCCGATCTCACCTCTGTAGTTTTATGATATAACTGAATATTAAAAACTTGTTTATTCAACTTGAAATCGAGCATCACAAGTTGCAATAAGTATTGTAAAACATCATTATTTCATCAATTCATCTCGAATCAGGCAAAACACACTCATAATAATCCATTTATGATTCTATGTCTTTAGTTGTACACGATCAAAATGATTTTTTTTTCCTTTTCTAATTAAGTAGTTTTCTTCTTAATTTTTACGGTTTATAACAACATAAATTATGATTTATGCTTAAGAAGTTAAAATTTGATTCCACTACAGAGTTCTTAATGAACATCAAGTTATAATATATACTTCACACCCACAATCTTGCAAAAGAATTTGAATATAAATTCATTTTGATGAATCTTTTGATCTCGATCCGATCTTACAATCATGATTTTAGTAAGGGTGTGTTTGTGATTGCTTTTTGAACATAAAAATCCTTTTTGTAAAAGAACTTTGTCTAAAAGATGGTGTTTAAAATGTGTTTGACTTGTCTTTTATGACTTTTAAGTGATAAAAGCTAAAAGTCACAAAAAATAGGAATTCCTATCTTTTCTCCAGTCAACTTTTCCTTCTTGACTAAAAGTTGGTTTTAAAAAGATCTTTTTAATTTGCCAAACAACTTTTAATAATTTTTAAAATTTTTAAAAAGTTAAAAGTCAAAAAATGATTAAAAAAAATGACAAACACCCTCTAAATGTAAAACGATCCAAGTAAATTGACAACATCAAGTTATAAACCAGTTATAATGCATAATTCCATATTTTTTTTTCCTCATCAAGGCTCATCGCTGTACCAAACTACCAATGAGTTGTCTACTCTTTTCCACACATATACACGGGACCACCTTAACCCTAACGCAAACTTCCTATTCCCGCTTCGAATCGCTTCCATCCTTTCCTTTTCTGTAGTTTCCTACACTCATGAAATGGGAGATGGAGATGGAAGAGGTGGAAGCCGTTCTCGAGAAGATTTGGGACTTGCACGATAAGCTTAGCGATGCTATTCACTCCATTTCAAGATCTCATTTTCTTCATTCCGTCAAAGCCTTACGCAGTTCCAACGATCTATTCGACCGTGCCGCAGATAACAACAAGAAAGCCTCCGATGATGAAGTGAAAGGAGGTTTCGTTTACGTTAAAGACTTCCCGATCGAGGAAGATGATCACTCGGCTATTCATGAGGCCAAGAGTTTGAATTCTATTCGTACCGCCCTCGAGAACCTCGAGGACCAGCTTGAGTTCTTTCATGTGAGTTTCTGTTAAATTATTGCTTCGAATTATACTAGTTATGTCCTTTGTCCGAGAATTGTGTTGTAGCAGACCTAATTTCTTTGTTGGAGCGAACCCTAATTTCTTTGATTGCTTGATATTTTGCCCACGAGACCAGGAATTTTGTTAGAATTTGACCTAATTTGTATAGTTGTTGGATTCCATTATATGTTTACCTACGGGGACGTATGTGCTGATCTGTAGTACAAGCCAGGAATAAGCTTAATTAGGGATTTTACTGATTAAGAGATTTTAATGAGTGGCTTAAACTGGCAGGTTTTAGTGGTTTGTTTATGTTGTTATTTTCATTGTTAGTCATGGTTTATATTTATGAATACTTGTAATGCAAATGTACAGATTGGTTGCTGCTGCATCCTGAAGGATATGGTGTCTAATTTGTTCATGGAATTGTTTGTTATGAAAGAAATTTACAGTTTTACACTTACAAATGCATGAGCAAAATTGTTTAATTGAAAGCAAACCTTGTATGCCAACTCTTGTGCAATACATAAATCTAAACTGTGCCTTAGGCCTTTAACAATCCTAGTAATAAAGATAAGGATTCATAATAATATATTGCTTATTATTTTTGGAGCCAAGGTTAAGATGTTATTTCCTGATCATCTGCATTATGCTAATTGCTACACCCCCAATTAAATATACATATGCAAGGAGGGGCAAAGAAAATATTAAGTAGTGGGGAATCATTTTTAGGGGAAGGGCGTTATGGGTATTTTCTATATTATTTCTGTTAAGGTTTTCTGGCCTATAGATGTTGGCATCTTTTTTGGTGATATCTGGCACTCTCAAGATCATAGCACATTAATCAAGAATGAAGAAGAGTATATGAAAGCATGATTGGAATGATGGAAAAAAGCTTGAATTGAATAATAACATGTTTTTTTTTTTTTTTTTTTTTTTGGATGCAGACTGTGCAGACACAACAGCGGGCAGAGAGGGATGCTGCAATTGCTCGGTTAGAAGAAAGCCGGATTGTGCTTGCATTAAGATTAGCGGATCATCATGGTAAAAACTACAAAGTCATTGAAGAAGCAAGGGCTTTTGTTGGACAAGTACAAAACCACAGTTGTTCCTATAACAACATAGAAAAGAAGTCAAACATTCTGGTCAATGTCGTGATTTCTAGTTTTAATTTTGCAAAAAAGTCCCTGAAAGTTGATCATGTTGGCGGTTTGTTTGGGAACGCGGCTTTATTTGCGGTTAGCATGCTGGCATTGTTGCATCTTCATCAGGTAGCGGATAGGGATAGGGACATCTCAGATCTCCATCAAGTTAAAGTTAATACAAATGTTACAAAAGTTTATATACCCGAAGGGGGTTCTTCAAATGGTCTGGACGTTTTATCTGCCAGAGGTTAAAAACTAAAAAGACTACTACTATCTCAAACTCTTTTGAGTGTTTCTTTTGGCAAATAGCAATCTGGCATTGTATTAGAACGTCTAAGTCTAGGTGTTGATTTACTCTTTTTCTAAATTTGTATATTTTTAGGCTGCATTTTGTTTGGTGTGCATAACAAGGATTGAGCATTTGAACTACGATGGATGGGAACTTTACTCCTTTTTTTTCCCCTTTTCACACATGGACGTTAACGGGGAGGCATATGCCAGTGAAATTTGAGAGAGCAATGGAAATTTTAGTAGATGTTGCAAAACGGATGTGAGTAAACATTTGAATATGATGGGTTTGATTTGATATTGTCAACACCGATTTGAATATGTTAATAAATTGATTTAATAATTAATATAAGGATATTCGATCATCAGAAATGAAAGCATATCCTCATATCGCCAACTTTTAATCGAATTACAAAAAAATGACCAACAACTATTAAACAAATATGTTTTGGACTCCTGCGTTGGACTATCAGAAAGCCGTTGAGGTGTTTGAAATCTTACATTTCAGACTAAATGTTTGTTTCAACCTGACATTTGGTTTACATTTTGGACAGTCCTTTCCTTTGCTTCGGACTCATATAAAATTTGACTTTTATATTTATTTTTGGTAAAAGTTGAAATACTCTGTTCAATTTCTACATGTCTCATTTGGATAAAAATTTTCATTTATAGATCAATACATGTCTCATTTTGATATTTAATTTTTTGAGGAATTTTCAAAATAGTCAAATCTCTTAATGACTTAGCCAAAAATAGCCAAAGATTAGGGTTTTTTCAAAATTAGCCATCGAAACCATAGATCGGGTAAACACACCTGCGGTTTCGTCGGATGGGCTGCGTAATCGTCGAGCCATCTACAATTTTCATATGAAACCCTAACTCATAAATGGGCTTGTGATATGGATAGTAATAATGCAGAAAATTGGCGGAGTTCATTGTTTTGGAATGTTTGTACACACCTTCAATTTTTGCCATATGCAACGCCACAATGGGTGAGTAATTTGTCGGGTCACAAAAATGGAAGTTCATCCGGTCCACCGTAAAACAACATAAAAGGAGGGGATGAGTTCTTGTCTTGGTTTAGGGTGAGATTTCAAGTGTCTTAAATGAAGAATCTGTGATGAATTTTGACTTAGTTTACGGAGAGAGAGAGAGAGAGAGAGAGAGAGAGAGAGAGAGAGAGAGAGAGAGAGAGAGAGAGAGAGAGAGAGAGAGAGAGAGAGAGAGAGTTTTTGATCTCATCTTTAGCTTTTTGCAAACCATATTGACCAATTTTACAGTTTACTCTATAATAAACATAAAAATGTAAAAAAAAATCACAAACTAAAAGCGTATAATACTCTTTGACAAATCAAATATCCTCTACTTTTTGTTCATACTAATTTTCTTACTTATTAGATTAAGACAAATGTCAAAATCAAGAAAGGAGATTAAGATACAGAATTAGTGGATTACACATGTCATGTTTCATAGGAGTATGAAGATAAGAAGGAACAAAATGTAAAAGGAATATGTAGTCAATAGCGGCGCTATAGCGGTTAGCGGAGGTAAGGAAACGCTATTTCGAAATAGCGGTTTAGAATAGCGGTGACGCTATTAGCGCCGCGATTTACCGCTATTTACCGCGATTATGGTCACCGCTATAGCGGCGCTATAACAACTATTTGAATAAATTCCATTTTTGGGCTATTTTACATAAAAAAAACATTTTTTTGTATCATTCCATTGAATAAAATTGTTTTTTCTTAGCCCCTAACTAAAACTTTTGTGTCGTTCCATTGAATAAAATTGTAATTTTGTGACTGTCATGACTTCCATTGAAACCATGTATGTGTTGTGTTGCTAATTGTGTTGAAAACTTGAAGTACTACATTATGATTAACTATCAAATTGCTTAATCATTTTATTTAATAACTGTAATTGTGTTAAAGTATGATAAAATAGTAAGTATTTCATATGTTTCCTTGTTAATTGTGTTAAAATATGATTAACTGGGCCATTGGTAACCGGTCTGTGAAGTATGATTAACTAATTATGATATGTGAAATATGATTAACTAAATATGATATGTGAATTATGATTTACTGATTAACTAATCAACTGGATTGGGTTGAACTTTAAAGTATGATTTACTGATTAATACTCTAATATATATAAATTCTAAATAATATAAAAAACGCTATATCACCGTTATACCGCCGCGAAAACCGCAATTTCAAATAGCGGCCGGTGACCGCTATTATATTTTTGACCGCGATAACTGCTTAGAAAAGGATATTAAATTGATAAAATTGCAAAAATGGTCCCTGTGGTTGGCAAATTTATGTACTTTTGGTCCAAAACGAAATGTTGGTGCACCACTGGTCAAATTGGTGCAACTTGAAACATTAAACGATTTTGGATCCACAAGCATAACATACTATTTGTTACGCGTTACAAGGGGTCTCATAAAGAAGTTTTTTTTTTTTTTTTTTTTTTTTTTTTTTTCTTCAGAATCTCTATATATCTTTACAGTTTAGAAACGATGAATCCATAACCGGTTACCCATATTAAGGCTAATGATGAGTACTTCTCTGACTATCGGTTGCATGGTTGATTATTTTTCAATTTATATTAGTTGTTTCATTTTAAAAAATTGTTGTGATAAATGATATAACAAATTGTAGATTCAGGTGTTTACAAACTTTTATCGTAATTGATGGTGCTCACCTAAAAGGGAAATACTTGGGAACTACAAATTCCATAAATGACAACCAAATCCATGCCCTTGCTTTCAGAGTAGGAAAAAGCACAAAATAAGAAATCATGATTATGATTATCAAGGTTAGATGATTATGTTGGTAATATGGAGAATTTATCCATCTTATGAAATAATGAAAATTCCAGTAACATAACCCATAAAATTTATGTTCCTAGATGAATATCACAACCTTTGTTGTCAACATTTGCTTATGAATTTACGAACTAAGATTGGAAAAAATGGTGTTTGGGAGACATACAAGGCGTAGAGTATGTTTGATTTCCAAGACAGTTTTGCTAGGTTATGTCGTTCATTTCCCACTCAATGTATATGGATAGACATTATTGGTCATGTAAAATAGACAAAGATGTACTTCCATAGGGTTATCTATAATATAATGACCTATAACAGGACAAATAACAAATTTCATTAATACATTATCAAGAGATGAAAGAAAACTATCAATTACAATGTTCAATGAGTTTTTCTCTTACACGATGCAATAATGATATTGTCAATGGCATAATATAGGAGGTTTATTTTTAAACATCCATAAATAAAACTATAGTTTAAAATTGCATGACGACTTTTTTATATATTTTCTTGGTAAATAACGACTTTTTTAAATGTCATATATTTCGACCTTAAGTATCCTTTATCAACAAACCAAAATATTAAACGATTCATATTCCAAACCAAGTACGTTTCTATTATGAATATAAGTGAGTACAAAATCCAAAGAACATTTCCAAAATAAACATTTCGAATTTAGAAAATGCATACGATGACATTTTGGGGGTCAACATCACGAAGCTTAACAAGATAGCAAACCATTTGTTTTCCAAAATCCAAAACCTGAAGAACAACTCATCAATATTTATTTCGAAGTTTGAAATAATGCTTGCCACCCTAAATCCAACGAGACGGTAATGAAACTTACAAAAACTAGAATATATTAGGATACAACGTCAATAAAAAGATGCCATTTTGTTTGTAAATCCCATGAAATTGGATTTACCAATAGTAAGATAGAATAAAGATTTTTTCTTTTTCAAGTATTTATGCTGCAATTGAAATAATCACTTCGTATATGCTACTACCTTACTCCGAATTCCGAAATGATCACATTTCAGAGTAAGAAATCATTTTTAGAGAAACATATAATAGTTTGGTATTTTTAATAATAAAACAAAAACATATAATTATTTTCGTGAATATCCTATTAATATATTAAATTGAGTTAAAAGATGTTTTGTTAATTTATCCTGTACCGAAAGTTATAATTGATATATTACTCTTTAATCTTTGACAAAATTTGTTTACAAGGAAACTTATCATTTTTTTTTAAGTCGATATGTAAATGAAAAATGCTTATCAAAAATTTATTATTTAAGTCAATTTTTATATTCTTCTATTCAAACATTTAAAATAACTTATTATTCGTATAAAAGAATTAATAAATGATTTTTTTTCTTTCAAACAAACAATTCCAAACACCCAGTAAATTGAGCTGAATTCAAAATAGTGACATGCACCTTCTTTTTAGTGTATTACTATCATTTTCTCTTCTTTTTAGTGTATTAGGATTTTTTCTCAATGGTGTATTTAGTGTCTTCTAAACTATATCTATTAAAGTATTTACTGAATTATAACACTATATTTTTATTTCTTTAAGTTATAATATCATTTTTCTTGGAACGACGAATATTATTAAGCAACTAGCAAAAGGTTACCAAAGAAAGGTTACAAGATAAAACTAATATGGGTTGGATTTTGTAACCACGCAACCCAACTCAAAACGTTTTTCTTACTCCTATTAGAAAAAAATATACTAAAAATGTTACCAGAAAGCATGGATTTCTTAGGAGGATCCATCCCAAAAATCGACTTATTTCTAAACTTTCAAATCAACCAACAAGTAGTCACCACCTCAACATCAAAAGCCTTGTTATGAGCAGCCGAAAGAGACACCTTATCCGACCACGAAATAAGAGAGGAAAGCGGCCAATCTTCTAGAAGCTCCAAATCCCACCATAACTAATCCAAATCCATAGAGGACGAAAGACATCACAACCAGCAAAAACATGATCAACAGTCTCTGTAAAAGAGGTGCACAAAGGACAAAGAATCGACTCCACCTCTATCCTACTAATTGACAATCTCTCTCTCTCTCTCTCTCTCGCGTTTGAATTCTCTCCTGAATGACTCTCCACATAGAAATATTGACTTTGATAGGGACCTAAGAGTTCCACCTAGTTTCCCGATCAGCCCCCACAAAGGAACCATTATTTAAAAGATCCTCACAGCAGAAACAAAGAACTCACCTGAACTCTCCAAAGACCACATCAATCTGTCAAAAAGAGTAGAAAGTTGAACATCCTGCAATAAGGAAACCGAACGAAACCATTGATCTTCCTCCACATCACCACAAGGTTGACGTATAAGAAAATCAACCGAGGAGCCTGGCGAAAGGTGATCCGCAACCACCCCCATCTTGGTCTCGTCCAAACAGTAAATCTTATGAAATGAAGCAAACAAAGAACAATCTCCTAGCCAAGAGTCATGCCAAAAATCCATAAGCTTCCATTCACCCACCTTAATC